AGAGAAAGCCCATTAGGAGTGCGAAGAATTTCCATGCCCAGAAAATAATGAACATGCCCGAGGTCCTTCATAGAGAAGAGACGGCTCAAGTCTTGAATGAGTGTGGAGATGTGGGTTGGGTCATTGCCTGTAATTAAAATGTCATCAACATAAATTAATAAATAAACGCGAATGGATCCGTTAAGATAGATGAATAACGAAGAGTCGGCCGTGGAAGCAGTGAAGCCCAAATCTTCCAAATGAGTGGAGAAACATTTAAACCAGGCCCGAGGGGCTTGTTTGAGCCCATAGAGAGAACGCTTAAGATGACAAACATGGTCAGGAAATTGGGGGTCAATGAACCCAGTGGGCTGACGCATATAAACCTCCTCATCTAGATAGCCGTGGAGGAAAGCATTCTGAACGTCCAACTAACGAATGGGCCACTGAAATTGAACAGATAAGGCTAAGATAAGATGGATGGTGGAATGATTCACAACTGGGCTAAACGTCTCGCCATAATCCAACCCTTCTTGCTGATGAAAACCATTAGCCAGTAAACGGGCCTTGTAACGTTGAACAGAGCCATCGGAATTTCGTTTGATGCGAAACACCCACTTATTTGGCAAAACATTCAAGGTGGGCTTTGGAGGAACAAGGACCCAAGTACCGGCTCGTTGAAGAGCATTAAATTCTTCTCCCATAGCGGTGCGCCATTCCTGAAATTTATTAGCCTGACTGAAACAAGTGGGCTCAACAAGATCATTAGTAGAGGCAAAGAAAGCATGATTTGCATATTTAGGATTGGGCTTACGAACACTAATTTTAGCACGAGTCACCATAGAATGAGTAGTAGAAGGTCTTACCCGAGAAGTAGCCGAAGGTGATGAGTGTCTTGAGGAACTTGGTAAAACAGGTTCTGGGTCAGGAGAGGGAAAAGTGAGGACAGTCCTATGTGGGGTGCGACGGTAAACTTGGAGAGAACTAGGTGGAGAGGGTTGGGTTGTTTGGGAGGCAACGGCTGTGGGATTATTGGTGGCATTGGGCAAGGGAGAAGATAAGTGTGGGCTGGAGGATATGTGGGTTGGCAAGGGAGAGGATGGATTAGGAGAGGGGGGCGTGACAATTTTGTGGCCATGGGGCTGCAAGGCAGCTTGTTGGTTTGGAAGAGACCCAAAAATTTGTAAAAGTGGTGCAGAATCCACAAAAGAGGAAGAAGAAATTGAGGCATGAGAGCCCTTGGTCTCTTGAAAGGGGAAGCAATGTTCATCAAAAATAACATGGCGTGATAAAAAGACTCTATTAGTGGTCAAGTTTAAACAACAATAACCTTTATGATCTAATGAATAGCCCAAAAAGACACACTTAACAGATCGAAAGTGAAGTTTATTAGTATTGTAAGGTCGAAGATATGGAAAACATGCACACCCAAAAATTTTAAGAAAAGCAAAGTTAGGTTCCTTATGAAAAAGAATTTGATATGGAGACTGAAGACCCAAAACCTTAGAAGGAAGACGATTAATTAAATACACATCAGTATGCATGGCCTAAGCCCAATAGGCAAGAGGCATAGAAGCATGGGCCAACAAGGTAAGCCCAGTGTCAACAATATGACGATGTTTCCATTCTGCCAAACCATTTTGTTCAGGGTGATGGGGACAAGAAATGCGATGGTCAATACCATGAGTAACCAAAAAATTATGAAAAATACGACTAGTATATTCACCACCCCCATCAGTTTGAAGAGCTTTAATTTTTGTAGAAAATAAATTCTCAACAAGTGTCTTAAATTTAACAAACAAAGAGAAAACCTCAGATTTCAAGCGCATAGGAAATATCCATGAGTAGTGAGAAAAATTATCAACGAAAAGAACATAATATTGAAATCCTGAAACTGATTTATTAGACGAACTCCATACATCAGAGTGAATGAGTGCAAGAGGAGCATGCGTAACAGACAAAGAAGATTGAAACAGTAGCTTAACACATTTTCCTAAAGGACAAGAATGACAAGTAAAATTATTAAAAGTCTTAGTGCCATCAATAGACAACTTATTTGCAGACAATAAAAATTTTAAAATAGGAGACGAAGGATGACCAAGGAGCGAATGCCAAACAGGACCAGTAACACGAACACCAAGATATGCAATATGACCATGAGATGACATGCTAGATGGGAGAGAGTAGAGACCAAGATTACTTGTGCCCTTGAAAAGAGTCTTCCCCGTCTGCAAATCCTGTACCAAAAAATGATTGGGATAAAACGTGAAGAAACAGTTATTATCCCGTGAAAATTTATTGACGGACAACAAATTACAAGAAACAATAGGGCAGTGAAGGATATCAGTAAGAGAAAAAATATTGTTGTTAAGAGGAAGACTAGAGGAGCCAATATGGGTGATAGGCAAACCTGTTCCACCAAGCACACCATCAACAGAATCATGGCCATGATATTCTCGAGAAATAGACAAGTTACTCAGATCATTGGTAATATGAGAGTTGGCCCCGGTATCCACAACCCAATTAGGAGGACGAGGAGACGAGGATTGTTGAGCAGTCATGGCAGTAAGGCGTGGAGGAGGCACCCGACCTTCATACGACAAGTTGAGACGATTATAGCAATCCAAAGCAGAATGCCCATAACGTCCACAAATTTGGCACTGAATACGTGAACCAGAAAAGGGAGGAGAAGGTGAGGAAAAACCAGCAGCAGCCGCAGGAGGAGGACCCAAAACACCAGGCTGCGAAGTGGAGCCACCATGAGAAGAATAAGAAGCACAACCAGAACCATGAGAAGAGGAAGAGCTGCGAAACCCAGGATGTCTAGTCGCAGAGGAAGAACCATACCATGGAGCAGAACCACCAGAATGACCGCCACAAAAAGAAAAGCGGCCACTACCGCAACCGCGACCACGAGAATGAGCACGACCATGGGCAGCAACCATCGCAGTGGCAGGACCATCACGGGCAGGAGCATGGAGCGCAAGATGGCGTTGTTCAGCAGAGAGCAAGAGAGCCTCAAGATCAACATAGGTAATAGGGGTCTCACGGGCTTGAGCAGATGCAACAGTAGACTCATATAAGGGCCCAACATTATTCATAATGACAGCAAGAAGATCGGAGTCAGGAAGAGGAGAACCAGATAAAGGGAGGTTGTCGACAATAGCATTGACCTTGTCCAAGTAATCAGCAATGGAGGATTCACCACGAGCAGTATGAAAGAGTGCACTACGAAGCTGCAAAATCCGATTTTGATTTGGAGAGGTGAATCTGTTTTCAAGAGCCACCCAAGTAGAACGAGCAGTAGTAAAACGAGTGACGGTGGCGAGAACCGTAGAACTAAGAGAACCATTGATCCAGGATAAAACCAATTGGGTCTTGTTGAATCCAAGAATCATAAGAAGGATTAATGGCATCAGTAAGCTTGCCCTTGTCATCCGTAAGAAAAGGAGAAGGAGTGACGGCAGCACCGTTGACGAAGGACATTAGATTGCGACTCTTGAGGAGAGGGAGAATCTGAGCCAACCAAAGGGGATAGTTATTGCGATCAAGCTTGATATGAATAGCTTGAGAGACAGAGGGAAAAGCAGCAGCGGAATCAGAAGAAGAGGCCATGGGGAAAAGATATAGAGAGAAGAAAAAAATTCAGACTGTAAGTCAATTGCAACGTATGGGGTAAAGCCTCAATTATCATGAGGGCAGATTGTATTGATTTATATAGTATTACAGATAGAGTCCTATATCAAGTATGATAAGAATACAATGTAGTCAGATAAGCAAGAGGAATCCCACATGGGATAAACGTAAATACAAGATAGAGTCCTAAGGACAATAGTCATCTAATAATGAATAGTAGAAAATAACGTGCAGTGGAACCCAAAAATTTGTATTGTCACGGTCCTTGAGGTTTAGTGTAATTACGGACAGATGCCACAGATTTAATTAATTCCACATACACCGCCTAACTTTAAAATCTATGACAAACAGTCAAAGGCCAAATGCGGTCGTTTGCATCTTACAAAACAAAACAAAACAAAATAAAAAATAAAAAAGATTTATCTTTTTCAGATACAAAAAATGTCATAAAAATTATTTCACATTTAAAAGAGAAAAGAATTAAAGATATCAATGGGGGACTAGGGGCTAGGCGGTTGGTTCTGGGATACTTGTGTGTACTCGATAGATTGTGCTCTTAAAAATTAGAGAGTGTGACATTTCACGAAAGATATAGTGATTGTGTAACTTGTACTTGATGAGACAAACTTGTAATATTGCAAACTAAGGAGAAAATTCGCCAAGGTGGTATGTGTTGATGTTGTAGCAGACGAACTAAAACACGAGAAGATCCTTCAATAATGATATTGGAGATACCAAATTTTCTAGCACAAAATAGTCCAAATTTTAACAATTCCTCGGTAAGTAGTGGATGGAAGACACACAATTGAATTTTCTTGATCTTGTTTTTCAAAATGTTTCTTTAATTAAATTTTTAGATTTTTTTCTTTAATTTTACATTTCAAAGATTAATCTAATACTTTTATATATCTCTATTTTTCATCCGTCAAACTTAGATTTTTAATAAAAGAAAGTAACATAAGGAGTATAAATGAAATAAAAGAAACATGTAAGGTCTGATTGCAATTACACCAAACCTCATATAGTGTAACAGAAATTGTCCGTTTTATGTATTTGTTGGGAAGAAGATGCACGGAAGCTTCCCCCAATTCCTTTAATAGAAAGAAAATAGGTTGCCTTCCCCTCTATTCCCTTGCCGATTTGGGATATCAAGAAAGGACCACACGCATTAGGAAGATAGTCAGAAAGAAGATAAAAACAATTATGGGAAAAGCATGCTATGTTGTTTGTAAACAACAATCTTATATCTACGACATAGACGACATAAAAAAAACATTTGAATAGTTCGTTTTACTGGTAGTATTAAATTGATTTGGAACTTGACATGAAACTCAAACGGATCTAATAAGAGGGTGGTCCTTGCTTGCTGGTTGAAATCCACATAATTAAGTATTTATAATCAGATAATTTGATTACATAAGGATAATTATGGATATTCTTCTAATACAGAGAGCTTAGCATCGACTCTTTTAACAAGTGAAAGACTGAACTAAGGCAAGATAGACTTCTCAATTCTTACAAGTTCTTTGGCCACATCAATCAGATCTGGCCTTGCTTCACTTTCGTATTGGATGCACAACAATGCCAGTGCTAGGAAATCCTGCAGTTGCTGTTGTGCTTGCTCATCTCCCCCGACTTCCTCAAGGATTTTAGGGTCCGCAATTGTCTCTATTTGAATATGTCCATCAGAAACGTTAAGTTTCGGATCTTCAGTAAGGTATTCACCCACATTTCCTTCCTCAGTCCAACATACAGCTTCTCGTCGCATTAAGAATACAAGTAAAAGCACACCAAAGCAATAAACATCATTTTTTTCTGAAATTTGATAAGACTCTCGGTAAGCAGGGTCCAGGTACCCCATTGTAAAAGTTGCGAAATTTTCTTGAACATACAATTGGTTAGGAGGAATGGTTATGGAGAATGAAAAGTCGAAGAGTTTGGGAACATAGTCATCGTCCAATAAAATGTGGGTGGATGTTATACTCCTATGAACGATGGGCCTTGGAAAGGCAGTATGTAGGTATGTAAGTGCACTAGCAAGCTGCTTTGCAATACGCAGTCTAGTTTTCCATGGTAATAATTCATTATCCACTACTAAACTCCCATCATAGTTGAGACCTCCTTTTCCTGCATTTTCAAGCACCAAAGCTGATGTATCGAACTCTAAGCAGCAGCCTAATAATTTCAAGGAATTCTTATGGGTGCTCATCTGCATTGATATGATAATATCACGAATAGCTCTGTCGTCCCAATCTCTGTACTTCCTAATGATAACTGTTCGGTCATCTAGAATACCCCTGTACATCTTGTTGTGTAATCCATCTATCCAGCAAGAAGGATCAAAGTTGTTGGTAGCTCTGATGAGCTCAGCAGCAGAGTAAGAACGAATAGGATGAGATTTTCCATCACAAGAAGCAATTAGATCCTTTAGTAACATGCTTCCATTCTTCAAGAATGATCTCTTTCTTTCCTCCTTTTCCTCCTTTTCCCCCTTTTCCCCCTTTCGCTTTACACGTCGAATGATTGAGAACCTGATATATAGACACACACAAGAGTGCACACAACGCACAAAGGAATGAATAAGAAATTGATGCAATGAAAATAAATAATCTATCCCGATTCTCAAGAAAAGACATAGCATAGCACCCACACTTTGCTTTCATTTTGTTCTTTAGAACTTTACATGAAATCCAAAGAGATCAAATCTCAGCTTTCATATATTTCTTACAAACTGAGAAACAATAATAATACTCAGTTTTATGGATGGAAGAAAAAAAAATACTTGTCCTGCCGCTTTCGTCATATTCATGGATTACTTTGATTTACAACAGAATTTTGGGCTTTAGCCGCACGAAAATTTTGACTTACTAAAAAATCCCTGAAGGAAAGGAAAGCTATATATTTTTGTTTGAGGATTAAAACCCGGGAAAAAAAACTTACAAGGCTTTGGATGCCATTGTTTACACTTGAAATTTCTCTGTTTAGCACACAGGCCCCAAAGTAAACTGTAATTTGTTGATATCTCCTCCCTCTTTGCTGCAGATTTCAAGTAAACAGTAATTTGTTGATATATCCTCCCTGTATGCTGCAGATTTCGTGCTCAAGCACCAGTAATTTGTTTAATCAAATTGGGAAGATGCATGGCAGCTGCGCCCAACTGAAGGGTAGACCTGTTGACTTGCCTTGACTCCACTCGAGTCTTTTCAGATTTATAACGCGTTTGCTAGGAGATCATGGGGCCATTTATAGTCATTCGGGGGAGTTGGAATTTCCAAGTTGTAATGTCTAGAAACCACTCATTAATTCTTCGTTCGTACTCCACATACACCACCTAACTTTAAAATCTGTGGCAAACAATCAAAGGCCAAATAAAATAAAACAAAATAAGAAAAATGATTTATCTTTTTTGGATACAAAACTTGCCATAAACATTATTTCACATTTAAAAGAGAAAATAGGTGCTAGGTGGTTGGTTCTGGGATACTTGTGTATACTCGGTAGATTGGACTCTTAAAAATTTGAGAGCGTGAAATATAGTGATTGTGTAACTTGTACTTAATGAGACAAACTTGTAAGATTGCAAACTAAGGAGAAAATTCGCCTAGGTGGTATGCGTTCATGTAGTAGTAGCAAACTAAAACATGAGAAGATCCTTCAATAATGATATTGGAGATACCAAATTTTCTAGCACAAAATAGTCCAAATTTTAACAATTCCTCGGTAAGTAGCAGATGGAAGACACACAATTGAATTTTCTTGATCTTGATTTTCAAAATGTTTCTTTAATTAAATTTTTAGATTTTTTCTTTAATTTTACATCTCAAAGATTAATCTAATACTTTTATATATCTCTATTTTTCATCCGTCAAACTTAGATTTTTAATAAAAGAAAGTAACATAAGGAGTATAAATGAAATAAAAGAAACATGTAAGGTCTGATTGCAATTACACCAAACCTCATATAGTGTAACAGAAATTGTCCGTTTTATGTATTTGTTGGGAAGAAGATGCACGGAAGCTTCCCCCAATCCCTTTAATAGAAAGAAAATAGGTTGCCTTCTGTTCGGTTCATTTTTACACATGATTTTTCATGTTATTCACCCACTATTTTGAGTTAGTTCTTGACATTTTATAGCTTTTTACTTCCTTTTTGTGTTTTCTTAGATTTTGCCTTGGTTGGGATGAAAATGAGCTAAAAGTGCATTATTAGTTATTTCTTCTTTTTTCTTTGTCCAAATTGAGAAGATGCATATGGCAGCTGCAATTACTTGGATGCCAAGGAAAATAGTAATTTGCTGATACTATAAGAAGATGTATGGCCTGAATCCTGATGGGATCCTCGGATAGCATGCTTCCATTAGTGAGATCCTCGGCTAGCATGCTTCCATTCTTCAAGAATGATCTCGGTCTTTCCTCCTCTGTGAATCATGGAATCAATGAGAGCCTGATACGTATTTATATGTATAGGTCATCAAACACAGGCACAAAGAACGAAATAAATTGATCACACATGGAGAAAGTAGTATATCCCATTAATGTTCCTACACCCTCCAGATAATAAGTTGAATTGTATGTATTAAAAACATTTTGAACTTCACAAGTGAAACTCAAACGGATCAAGTCAGAGAGAGGTGCTTTGCTTGAAAACCTTCATAATTTCTCACAATATAACTCAATTATATAAGTGTAATTATTGTAGATATTCTTCTAATACAGATAGAATAGCATCAACCCCTCACCAGATGAAGGACTGAGCTTCCAAACTACAATTCGGTACGGCATAACAAATGTAATGGATAAATTATTTAAGCTAGCTAGCTAAGGGAAGATGGACTTCTCAATTCGTACAAGTTCTTTGGCCACATGAATCATTTTTGGCCTTGCTTCACTTTGGTTTTGGATGCATGACACTGCAAGTGCTAAACAATCCTGCAATTGCTGTTGTGCATGCCCATCTTCCCCTACCTCCTTTAATATTTTAGGATCCACAATTTTCTGAATTTTAGTCTGGCCATCAGAAACATGAAATTTCGGATTTGCAGTAATGTCCAGTTCTCCTGCCTGAATGCTATATGCAGCTCTTTGCGTCAAGAGTACAAGTAGAAGCACACCAAAGCTATAAACATCAGTCTTTTCGGTAATGTAACCAGTTGCAAGGTAGTCGGGGTCAGTGTACCCAGATGCCCTATATACGACATGGACGACGTCAACCAAAAAAAAATACTTGAAAAGCCCATTTTCGTCTTACTGGTTTTAAATTGATTTTGAACATGACATGAAACTCAAACGGATCTAATCAATCAGAAGGTGGTCCTTGCTTGATGGTTGAAATCCACATAATTAAGTATTTATAATCAGATAATTTAATTAGATAATGATAATTATGGATATTCTTCTAATACAAAAAGCTTAGCATAGCATCAACCCTTTGAACAGGTGAAAGACTGAGCTTAGCATAACAAATGCAGCGGATAAGTAAATTAAGCATCATAATCTAGCTAAGGCAAGATAGACTTTTCAATTCGTACGAGTTCTTTGGCCACATCAATCATATCTGGCCTTGCTTCACTTTGGTCTTGGATGCACAACAATGACAGTGCTAGGAAATCCTGCAGTTGCTGTTGTGCTTGCTCATCTCCCCCGACTTCCTCAAGGATTTTAGGGTCCGCAATTGTCTCTATTTGAATCTGTCCATCAGAAACATCAAGTTTCGAATCTGTAGTAAGGAGTTCAATTTCTGCTCCCTGTTTTGTCATTGCAGCTCTTCGCGTCAAGAATACAAGTAAAAGCACACCGAAGCTATAAACATCAGTTCTTTCTGAACTTTGACAATACTTCAGGTATGTAGGGTCCGTGTACCCCGGTGTCCGTGCTGAGAAATTTTCTTCAACATACAATTGGTCAGGAGGAATGGTTATGGAGAATGAAAAGTCGAAGAGTTTGGGAACATAGTCATCGTCCAATAAAATGCAGCGAGATGTTACTCTCCTATGAGCGATGGGCCTTGGAAAGGCAGTATGGAGGTATGTAAGTGCACTAGCAAGCTGCCTTGCAATACGCAGTCTAGTTTTCCATGGTAATAATTCATTATCCACTACTAAACTCCCATCATAGTTGAGACCTCCTTTTCCTGCATTTTCAAGCACCAAAGTTGGTGTATCGAACTCTAAGCAGCAGCCTAATAATTTCAAGGAATTCTTATGGGTGCTCATCTGCATTGATATGATAATATCACGAATAGCCCTGTCCCTATGTCTGTACTTCTTAATGATGACTGTTCGGTTATCTAGAATACCCCTGTACATGTCGAAGTGTAAGTCATCTATAATGCAAGAAGGATCAAAGTTGTTAGTAGCTCTGATGAGCTCAGCAGTAGAGTAACATCGAATAGGATTAGATTTTCCATCACAAGAAGCAATGAGATCCTCTAGTAAGATGCTTCCATTCTTCAAGAATGATCTCTTTCTTTCCTCCTTTGTCACACATGGAAGCAATGAGAACCTGATACACACACACACACATATATATATATATATATATATATATAAGACATACACAAGAGCACACAAAGAATGAATAAGAAAACGATGAAATGAAAATAATTAATCTGTCCCAATTCTAAAGAAAAGACATAGCATAGCACCCACACTTTTCATTTTGTTCTTTAGAACTTTACATGAAATCCAAAGAGATCAAATCTCACCTTTCATATATTTCTTACAAACTGAAAAACAATAATAATATATGCTCAGTTGTGAGCATTCCTTTCCTGTTATGTATGGAAGGAAAGAAAAAGAGTTCTTCTGATATAGACCCTTACAACTATTATATCCTAATCATATACCCACCTATTTTTAAATCTTTATAACCCAAATTTAGAATAGGTTGCCATGTGAGATAGATTTGTCCTAATATTATTAACTAAATTACATTATGTGTCACCCCCCTGTCCTATATCCCCACCCACCATGTAAATTTGAAAAAACACAATCCTATCTTTCCACCCACCATTATTCCTAAAATACCAGTTAATTATTAATTTAAACAAATTCTCTATATTTTTTAGTGGGAACGATGTATTTATTTCAATAAAATTGAAACCGATTACAGCCTCAACCAACAAGTTCTTGATGAAAGCAGGAGGGTCCCTATCCCATAAGAACATGTCCATTGATGAAATGGAGCTGATTTTCCCACTCCCCTTTTGTTAACTTACACTCCCTTTGTTGGAAATTGTATGTTCCCACTCCTCTTTTGTCCACTTACACTCTCTTTTATATTAAAAAGTATTTAAAAAAATAAAAGGGAGTGGAAAAATCATCACCCTTGATGAAATAACAAAATATGCAAGACTGTGTGCCACTGTATTGGCATCTCTAGAAACAAAACAAATTGAAGAATTATTTAGTTGTTGAAACAAAAAAACGACAGTCTTCCATTTATACTCCTATTGATGAGTTGTCTGCAATGTTAGATCATTATTAACATACACTTGGGTTTTTGGTTTTGGTTTTAAGAATTTTTTAGTTATTAAAAGTTAACATTGTTTGTATAGGTTAAGTTAATGGACATGTGTCTGTAGGGGCTTTTTTCTTCCGGCAGCAAGTGGGCTGGGCTGCTGTAAAGAGCAATCTGATGCAAGTGTCCCCTTTGTGTCTGAGTTCGAAAATTAAGCCCCAAAGATGTCTCGAAAGGGTGATGACGCCTTAGGAAACTCTTTGGTTACCTTCACCAATGAAAACAACGACAAATTACAGATAAATCTTCTAACTTGGCATGAGGGACTTATGGCATGGGAGCAAGAATTATCATGGGTTTAGCACTTAGAGAGAGCTCTGAGTTCTTATGAGAGACATAGGTTCTAATGGAAGGAGAAAGGGGTTCTAAGGAGGTTTGATGAAGAGGGAGAAGAATGGTGAACAGTTTTGGGTGACCTTAGCAGTTTCTGGCAGCTTGACAGTGACTCTGTCAAAGCTTCTATCAATCTGCCAAAACAGGGGAAATAAGGGAAATGGGTAAAGATAGCACGAAAATTACTGAGTTTGCAAGTGAGAGAGAAAGCTTGCTCTCTGAAGGTTGTGGGTTGTGTTGTGTTGGGTAGAAGGGGTCCTATTTATAGCTGCTGGGAATGGTTCTTCTCCAAGAAACCCTAATGGTTTCTTTCCAATCTAGCTAAGCTTTCCTCTCCCTTTCTTCTCCTCCTTCTTGACTTACCTCATGGTG